AAATACCTAACAAGAACAAAGAAGGAAAAGTCAACCAAAGATAATTAACCCTTTCAGTTAATACCTTATTAATAGAGCAGATCGCTTTAACGTCCGGTAAATCCTAAATCAAAACCCAAATCATCGACTCACAATAATTCACACTAATTCGACTGAATAGTTCCTTTCAATAGTCACTCAATAATCACTACAGTCAGTAGCCTGACACCGTTATTTATATACATGGCGGAAAACATATTTTTATAAGTCCAGGGAGTTACGCTCGAACCTCGGTGAAGGTAGTTACTCATTTTCTTCCTATATGACAAAGACAAAATGTATCAGCTTGTTATTGAATAGATTGAAAACAGCAGTATCATGATTACAGATGATATATATATATATATATATATATATATATATATATATATATATATATATATATATATGTGTGTGTGTGTGTGTGTGTGTGTGTGTGTGTGAAAAATATATAGAAAATAGGAAAGAACTCGTTAGGTAAATAATCCAAAGTTCTTTAGTATTTTGTTATTATTTTTAAAAAATAGTGCTCGATACAAAAAGTAGGGCATAAATATAATTATTTATTTAAAATATGATTCAACACGCTACATAAGAGTTCTCATGTTTATAAAACGCGTAAACCTCAGAAATAAGTTATTCAAAAAAGATTTCGCTTGAAGATGGAACAGAGCTTAGTACTTTAATTCAATTTAATTCAAATAATTATATTGAAGTTTTCGGCTCTTGTTTTGAAACATGAGAAATCTTATGTAGCGTCTTGGAATCATATTTTTAAATAAATAATTATAAATATATATATATATATATATATATACATATAATAACAGGTTTGTTCCCCCAACCACAACATAGATAAATTAATAGTGGAAAAGACAGTTTATTGCCTACACAGTTTACGTCAACATCCATTTGTACACGTTCTAGGCCTTTATTTTCATTCAGGGGCTCTGAGTTTAAGATATTTGAAAACTAAAAATAATTTCCTCTTCATCTGCGTGGAGATGAAGAAAGAAATGGAGGCATTAGTAACGTGGTTCTACAGAAGGGTAATGAGAATTTCATAGGCGGAGCGAGTAAACAACGGAGAGGATGTAAAGGAAGTCGTAACGAAAGAATGCATATGCTCAGAATCAGAAAAAAAAAGATAGCTGAAAATTTCTTTGACAGTTTATGAGGCGGGAGGGCTTAGAAAACTTAAAACTCACCAGGCGTATCAGGGACAAGAGTGATCGGGGAAGGCAGTAAGCCACCTACTTGATGTACATGTGGTAATGGATAGAGGAGGTGGGGAAAACTAGTCAAAGGGAGAAGAGCTTCTAAAGCCAAAGTAATGATAGGAAGATGTGGAGAGCCATGAATATCTGCGTCCATGAAGAAACAAATAGAGCGATCTGAATGGTTTAATATTATTCCTCTTTGTCACGTGCTATGTGTTTCTTCTAAATCGCTAGGTCCCATTTTGAAATTTACAACATCAAGGTAGGTCCCATTTTGAAATTTACAACATCAAGGTAGGTCCCATTTTGAAATTTACAACATCAAGATCGGTCCCATTTTGAAATTTACAACATCAAGGGCATGAGCGTTGTTTTTTGAGCGGAGACGAGTGCTTCGAAGAAAACCAGAATATTTTTAAATAGATGTTCACACAATAAAAGGTCCAAGAGCCTCTCAAGGTAGAGGGTTATTGTTGTAACCTAGGAAGGGTTACTGAATGTAATAGGTTAACCACTGCTAGTGATGTACTACTTAGACAGTATATTACCCCCACTTAAAATATTGTCCAGCGTACTTATGACGACGATTGGGATATACCCATCAGTGTTCATAGGTACGGTATATAACATTAGATTTAGCCATGTCCCCTTATACTACACCTTTCCATTTTTTGCTACCTTTCCGTCACTTTTTCTTTAGTTCATTTTTATTTTAATTTTAATTGTATTTTCAACACTCTCTTTCTCTCTCTCTCTCTGTTGTTATAAATTAGCCACCTGTACATCAAAAATGATATTCTGGAAGTCTCTATATGACGCAAGGTTTCCAGCTGATGAGCGGTGATAACTGTCAGATGACATTAATTACTGTTGTTCATGATGACGGTCGTCTTGAATAGAGAATCCAGTTTAGCAGTGAATATTTCGAAGACAGTAGAAAAGCGTAGCAGTGGATATCCCGGTAAAGTAGCAGAGCTTAGTTCTTCCTTCTGCTCCTCTTCGGCTGGTACTGGACATTCGGATAGGGTAAACAAAATGGCCGCCTTTATACACGACGGATTGAATATTCTACGTCTTCTGATTGGTTAACCTTCTATTGGTGGACTATAAACTGAGTCAAGTCATCTAGGCTAGTTCACTAGTTACATAATGTATCCAAAAATTGTAACAATTACCACTACGCAAGAGAACCATTAAATACACATGTAAACTCAGTCTGTCAATTCCAAAAACAATATAGAAGCTACATACACAACGTACATACATATATATTTACTAAACTTTTCAAGATAGTTACTCACGGCAATATCACGTTGAAACACAGGCGATGTACGATCACCGAAGTTAATCAACATCGAGTCTGGACAGTATCTAGATGAGTGACCACTTGGGAATACCAGGTTCTGTAAGCTTGTATCTACGAGTGGGGTAATGGATAATGGCTCGGAATTTTTAATCGGAGAGCCTAAATCCAATTCTCTTTGGATTCGTTATATTTACTTAGATTGAAATTCCCTTGTGAAAGATATGAATCTTCCTCTTCTGTTCTGTAGGGGTTAATTAGTAAGACTTGTATCACTAAAATAATTAATATCCCCAGAAAAATAATTGCGGACAAAATATCTAGATTTCGATATTAAATAACTTATAGATGTTGATATGCCGCTAAATGAATAAATTAAAAAACAACCCAAAAATTTACAAATATTTTAATAACATTTGATAGGCTTTGTGAAATCTTTCACGGCTGGAGAAAATAGAAACTGCTTCCTTTATTTTATTGTAACCAATCAAAGAAAGGGAATCGTAATGTAATTATGCCGTCAATGAAATGCTGAGTCACCATTAATGTTTCAAACAAAATGGCGCCAGATTTCTATTTTCTGTATCTTGCACGAAAGTTATTATCGAAGTCTTTATCTGTTTATTTAGTTATCACTTTCACGCTATTTAACGCCATTGTGCTATTAAAGGTACTGCGCATTTATTTATTTTGATTCATCGTGAAGAGATAGGCATTGATCATTTAAGCATTCTATACCATATCTCAATGTTATGAAAGTACTTACGGTCATATCACGTTGTAACATTGGTTCCTGTACGATCAACGTCGAGGTTGGTCAATACCTAGATGGTTGACGTGTTGGAAATACCAGGGGCTGTAAACGTGGATGTGCGGGTGATGTAAGGAATAATGGCTTGGAATTGATAATCGGAGAGTCGAGTTTGAATTCCAGTTGCTTTCGTTATATTCACGTATGGGCAAATACTCTTGGGAAAGGTATGGATCCACCTCTTCTCCCCTCAGCTATGGATTAATTAGTGAGACTTTTCTTAACAAACTAGTATTAAAGATAAAATTAAAAAAATCCCAAACGAAACTAATAATAGAGGCTAGTATACTAATGATGAGAGGGCTATGTCGACGAATTAGATGCAAAGTGGTTAGGTTGGGAAAATATTAATCTTGAACAAAAAACAATCAACATCCTCTACCAAATGTTTCAAGAAATAGGACTTAAAATATACTTTTCAGAAACCGAAAATTGATCCCAGAATTGGAATGAAAGTAGTTATGGCACATACTCTGAATTCAACATGGAGCACTTCGGTGTGGTGTAGTGGTTAGCAAGTTTGTTTCTCTAGATCAATAACGACTGAGTAGTGAGTTCAATACACACAGGGTAGTCCACATTGTTAGCGTTGTGGCTCATGTAAGCTACGCCTAGAAAATCATTTCGGGAACCGCGAAGTGGTATAATGGTAAGCAAGCTTGATTCGCTAGATCAATTACGACTGAGTAGCGAGTTCCATACTCACAGTGGGGTCCCACTTTTAGCGTCGTGGCACATGTAAGCTACGCTTAGAAAATCACTTCGGGCACCTCGATGTGGTATAATGAACAACTGCGACGGAGTAGTGAGTTCGATCCTCACATCTAAGCTTCGAAAATCACCATATAAATTCAGGTGTGGAATTAGTACATTAATTAAACAATTCAAATACCAAGGCGTATGGATCAGTTATAACAAATTTTGTATAGGGGATGAGGAAATTGAACAAAGAATAGACTGCGCCCGAGGTTGTTTCGCTCAATACCACAAGCTGCTACAAAGTCAAATCATTAACCTGAAAGATCGAGTCGTATTCTTAAATAACCTCATCAGATCGAGACCTTCATATGGATGTCCAGAAATATCTAGAGTGTCAGCTGTATACAACCACTTTCTGAGACCAATGGTTAAAACTGGCTTTAAGTGAGAATGATATCCATATATATATATATATATATATATATATATATATATATATATATCGAAATATTATGCTCCGATCAAATAAGAAATAAATCCTAATATTTCATGGAATTCTTTATCTCCGAAATACGGTCAACTCTTAAAAGCATTCTATATAAAATCCTAAATCTTTTTCTCTGGAAGGCTAATATAATTTAAGAAAAGGTCATCAAAGTGATTTTTCTAAAGGTTACGAATAGAGAAACGCGACTTCTCTCCGTGTAGTTAATGAGCCATTGCTTTATCCATTCGGACGTAGGATGGTGTGTGTGTGTATGTTTGTGTGTGTGTGTGTATGTGTGTAGAGAGAGAGGGGGAGAGAGGGAGAGAGAGAGAGGCCGAACAAAGGACGAGGTTTCTTGTTCTCAAATCGTCCGTGTTTAACAAAGGACACGTTTTTGTTCTTTTCAGATGGTTTGAACACACGCGGCAGTATGGTTGAAGCCCTACCCTACACACGTTGAAGCGCCCTACCCTACACACGTTGAAGCGCCCTACCCTACACACCTTGAAGCGCCCTACCCTACGCGCCTTGGCGCGCCCTACCCTACACACCTTGAAGTGCCCTACCCTACGCGCCTTGAAGCGCCCTACCCTACACACCTTGAAGCGCCCTACTCTACGCGCCTTGAAGCGCCCTACCCTACGCGCCTTGAAGTGCCCTACCCTACGCGCCGTGGCACCCTACCATACACAGCTTGAAGTGCCCTACCCTACGCGCCTTGAAGTGACCTACCCTACGCGCCTTAGCGGCCTACCCTACACACCTTGAAGCGCCCTACCCTACACGCCTTGAAGCGCATGGCGCTCCTAAATCTGAAATGACGAAATCGAGCGCGTTAGAGATTTTTGTTCTTTTCAGATGGTTTGAACACACGCGACAGCATGGTTGAAGCGCCCTACCCTACGCGCCTTGAAGCGCCCTACTCTACACATCTTGAAGCACCCTACTCTACGCGCCTTGAAGCGACCTACCCTACACACCTTAAAGCGCCCTACCCTACGCGCCCTGGCGCCCTACCCTACACACCTTAAAGCGCCCTAACCTACGCGCCTTGAAGCGCCCTACCCTACGCGCCTTGAAGCGCCCTACCCCACGCACCTTGAAGCGCCCTGCTCTACGCACCTTAAAGCGCCCTACCCTACGCGCCTTGGCGCCCTACCCTACACACCTTGAAGCGCCCTACCCTACGCGCCTTGAAGCGCCCTACCCTACGCACCTTGAAGCGCCCTACTCTACGCGCCTTGAAGCGTCCTACCCTACACATCCTGAAGCACCCTACTCTACGCGCCTTGAAGCGACCTACCCTACACACCCTAAAGCGCCCTACCCTACGCGCCTTGGCGCCCTACCCTACACACCTTGAAGCGCCCTACCCTACGCGCCTTGAAGCGCATGTTGCTCCTAAATCTGAAATGACGAAATCGAGCGCGCTAGAGATTAAGTAGTCTGTCAACTGTAGATTACTAGTCGCTTTATATTCGTTTCATGATCAAAAGCCACACAAATAACATGTGATGTTTTTTTATTAAACTGAGTGTGAATATGTTACGTTAAGAGTTTACATATTAAAATTCTTCTATTTTGTACGGATTTTAGACAAACTATATATAGTTCTGTCAGGATAACTAAATACGTAATCGTAATTGGGTCAAGTAAAATGAATAAACGCTTTTCTATTTGGTTGTTATTGTTCAATATTTCTGTGTTGCAGCAATTCAATCTGTCAGTTATGTGCCATGCGTGATACACACTTAGGCGATCATGTATCTTTCGATACATGACTGATGAGGCAGATTTTTTTCCCGCAGTAGGTTGCCATTTTCTTTCTGCGGTAGACCAGTTGCCATCCAAGGCCATAGAACCCAGTCAGTTCTGCTATTTACCTATAGCTGGAAGAGAGAAGAGGATTTATACCTTTCCCAAGGGTATTAACACGTAAGTGAATATAATAGATTCGACTGAAATTCGAACTCGGCTCTCCGATTCCTCAATCCGAGCCGCTATCCATTACTCCGCTTGCAGCAATGATTCAAATAAATGATTCCCCTCCCGTCAAAAGAAACCATAAAAAATATGCTGGAATTTTCCACATTATATTATGTTAAAAAAAAACAAAAACGTAAATTATAATTTTAAATCTAAAGTATTTAAGTGTCTGGAAAATTTTGTTAGAAACAAAGAAAACAGCACTGAACTTTTGTGTTATATTGATCCTTCTATATAGCTGCGGATGTTTGTCATTTTGTGCAAGTATGTCTCACTGAATCAATTATGACTGAGAAGCGACTTTGTTTCTCAATGGGTGCTCCGTATTTTCCACCTTGTGTCACATGTAAGCTACGCTTAGAAAATCCTTTTGGGTATTTGGACGTGTTGTAATGGTTAGCAAGCTTGTCTCGCTCGAACAATTACGACTGACTAGTGAGTTCGATCCTCACTGGGTGCCCCATACTTTCGGCCTTCTACCACATCTAAGCTACGCTTGGAGAATCACTATAGCTGTGAATGTTTGACAATTTCAACGCAGACGAAAAGAAAGCTTGAAGCAACAGAGATGTGGTTGTACAGAAAATATTCTGAGAATACCATGGCCGAAGAATGGGCACAAAAGAAACTTAGAATTAGGAAGAGACACTTGAAATTTCTGGGGCACATGACGAGGAAAAAGGGTTTGGAGAGTTTGATACTCGCAGGAGATATTTAGGGGAAGAGAGAGTTTCTCTCTAAGAACAGGTAGCCTACCTAACAATCACGTGTAAATTGATGGCAGAACAGGGAGTGGGGGGATATAAAGGGACGAACAATGTTTAGGGATACAAAGGAAAATAAACCGCGAAGAGGCATGGCACAGAAAAAGAAGGAGGAGGAAGAGGAGGAGGAAGAGGAAGAGGAGGAGGAGAATAAGAAACTTACTCTATCTCTTACTAGAACTGTTTATTTAGTTAAGGATTATTACCTAAAT